CAATCTTGCTAGCAAAACACATATAGAGGGTCTCCTTGCTGCCTTGATGAAACTGGCAGTTGTGGTGAGCAAGCCCATGAGACAGAAATCTACAGATCATCCCTAGGGACCACAACCTCCAGCCTGCAAGAAGCTGGACTGTCAGTCCTGTAAGTATAAGGAAATGAATCTGCCAAAAACTGGAGTGTGCTTGGAAGCAAATACTTCTCTGGTCAAGCCTAAGAACAATCTGGCCAACACCTTAAAACTGTCAGGTACTAAATGTGTTCTATATTAAATCGTACTTCTATATAATTTGTTACACAGCAAGAGAGAACAAATGCACATTTTTATGTGTACCTGCGTATCTTTGCCAGTGATCTTTATTTCTGTGTGTGAGTCTGAACTGCATGTTGTCTTTTTCTTTCAGCCTGAAGGGTTTTAGTAGTACTTCTTGTAAAGCAGGTCTGAGAGCCATAAATTTATCTGGGAATGGCTTTATTTAACCATCATTTTTGAAGGACAGTTTGGGTGGGTATAAAATTCTTGGTTGATAGTTGTTTTCTGCAATTAGAATATGTCACCCCACTGCCTTCTGGCCACTGGCTGTTTCTTATGGAAACAAATCAGCTGTTACTCTTACTGAGAGACATTTGCACATAACCAGTCACTTTTCTGGGTGCTTTCAAGATTTTCGGTTTCCACAGTATGACTATGATGTGTCTAGATGAGTTTATCCAATTTGGAGTTCACTGAGCTTTTCAGCTATGTAGTTTAATGATTCTCATCAAATGTAGGAAAGATCTTGACCATTATTTCTTCAAATATTTTTTCTGTTCCTTTCTCTCTGTCCCTCTCTTTTCTGGCACTCCCATCATATCTCATGCATGTGCCAGGTGCTTCATAGGGTCCCTCTGATCTATGGGACTCAATTTTTGACAAATTCTTTTTTCTCTATGTTCCTCAGACTAGATAGTCTCTACTGAGCAATTTTCAAGGTCAACTGATTCCATCTCCTGCCAGCTCAAATCTGCTATTAACCACTCTAGAGAATTCTTCATTTTCATTATTGTACTTTTCAACTCTAATCTCATTCTCTCTTTATTGATAGTCTCTATTTAATGGGTCAGTGCCATCATATTTTCCTTTAATTCTTTGGCCATGGTTTCCTTAGTTCTTTGAAGACATTTATAACAGCTGCTCTGAAGTTTTATTCTTTTTTCCAGGGCAGGGTCTTTTACTAGCAACATCAAAGATCACTCATCACAGATTACCACAGCAACATTTATAATAATGGAAAAGTCTGCCTTGTTGTGACAATTACCAAATGTGACACAGAGACATGAAGTAAGCCAATGCTGTTGGAAAAATAGCACTGACGGACTTGCTCCATGTGCTGTTACCATGAACCTTCAATTTGTTAAAACACACACACACACAATATTTGCAAAGTGCAATAAAATGAGGTATGCCTGTGTGGGGTTTCCGCCCCCCTTAAACTAGTTGCTCTAAAGATTGAATATATATAGTAATCTGGTCAAAAAACATTACCAGGATTTTGTACAGAGGTACTATTATTTGCATCCTATTTGTGTTTAAAGCTCAACTGCTTTGGACATTACAAATCCTACAAGCAAGGAAGTCATATTTTACAAAATGTATGTGCAAGAACTACATATATATTATGTGTAAGTATATACTATAAGTGTAAGTATATACTATACCTAGTATATAGTATATGCATGTATACATGCACAGTTACAAAATATATGTATAGTGAACTGTACCCTAGTTCACTATTTATGTAATTATTCTTTTTCAAGTTTTGGAAAGCACCAATGCAATTAGCTAAGTAACGCAGGCAGTGATTGAAGGTCTAAGAAACAGTTATGCATTGTGCTGTTAAGTGTTAGCAGAGAAAACAGAAGCGACAGTGATCGAGGAGAAAAAATATCTAGACAAACACCTAAAACTGCTAATAATTCACCAGAGAATAAAGAGCTGGAAAGTCAGATGGTATAATGTTTCCAAACAGGATTTCTCCCAGACTGACTATTTTTTCATTAATGAAAAATAAAAAATTTAGAAAAGCAGCAAAGCAAAAACAACAAAACAAAAAAAACCCCCCAGCATTCTCTAATAACTATTATCAACATTAATGATACTATTAGCTTTTTTCTATACATTTTAAAAAGTTACACATAATTATAATCATAGTCTAATCACTTAACATTTTCTCTGTAGCTGGGCACTGAGAATACCTCCATTTTAAAAGCTACATGCAATGAGGGGTAAAATTTTCGTATTAAAAAAAATCCTGCCTTCAAGACTGCTGCCTGGGAATAAATTTATGGAAGTCCATTTTTGAGCAAAGAGATCTCCCATTTCTAACACCTAGCATCAGACTGCTTTCTACATTGCTTTCATAAATTCCTACAATCAATGTTAGTTTCATGACATTTGGGGTTATCATTTGCAAAATCTTTTACTCTGGAGAAGCTGAAAGTCATTTCTCACTCCTCTGCTATGGATTTCTTTATTAATCCCTGACCTCTCTCCCTCGTTTTCATGGGTTTCACCAAGAGGATTTTCCTGCCGTATCAAGAGGAGCCCTGAGGTGCGTTTCTCAGGGACTGCTGGTAATTTGCTTTATGGATTTAACGTCTAGCGCTTCAGCTGACTGGCCTCCACGTCAGTTTGCCTAATACTGCATCTGAAGACAGATAAAGGCGCTATAAGATAGGGTCTTTTAATGTTACTTTCATAAAATGTCTGGCATGGCCTTAGTATTTTTAGAAAAATTCAACTGGAAAAATGAAGATGATACTAAGAATGGGTTTCTTATCATTTCTACTCTTAAAATATTCCTCTCTGTAACTCCACAGCACGTGAACCTGGCCAGGAGGAACACCAGCGTTTGCACAGAGGGACTCTTATAGGCATCACATTTGTGTTTAGAGATTCTAATGATTTCTTGACATTATAAAACCCTAAGTATTCATCATTTTGAAGCTGGATGTTTGAAAGTAAAGTGGCAAGATGCCATTTATTCTACCCAAGCCAGTGTTTTGTTTCTCTGAGATCCAATATGATAGTTACTAGTCACACGTCGCTACTGAGCATGTGAACATAGCTGGAGGGACAGCAACTGAGTTTTTTATTTAATTTAGGTGTCAAAAGCCCGGCGTGCTGTGGATGACACAGGTTTAGGTTACACAGAAGAGCCTCCCATCTCTTCCCTCTGGGATGCGGACGGGATGCGGACAGTGCCCGCGACCCCAGCCACCCTTGCTCGCCCCCTCCATGACGCCAGACTGTTCCCACAGCAGCAGCAGGTACGGCTGGGCATCGCGGCTCCCCGGCCGGGCTTCCCTCTGTGGTCACATCACTGTCACCATGGCACAGTCCCAGGTGGCCCCCTGGCTCTGAGATGACTCATTGGTGGTCTGACTGCGCAGATGCATGGGCTTAACTACGGTGAGACCGGACCCTTTCATATGCCTGACATAAAGAATTTCTCATAGGGTGAGTGGCTTCTATTAAACATCCGCATCCTGTTTTTTAAAAAATGCATTTGGCTAACTTTCCTCTGCTCATTTAACAAATGGAAGCTCTTTTTCCTCCTTATCCGCAGGCCCATAAGCTCAGCGATTTTTGATTTCTTTCACTTTCGCCTCACATCCAATCCGTCGGCAAATCCGGTTGGCTCCGCTTTCAAAATATATGTGGTACCTTTTCTGCATCCACTGAACTTGACAAAGCATTGGCAGAATTTTAAGTCTTCTGACCCTATACCCACCTTTTCGTTTTTCTCAGATCTTTCTCCTGGCAAACCTCTCCCCCTTCATTAACTACAGACCTGAGGTTTTCAAGAGTTGAGGTAAAATGGGCTATGAGCAAGAAATGGCGGACATGGAGAACAGCACAAAGAAAATGCGGGCCAGGGAACGGCTGGGTTGTGTCAGCAGTCAGCTCTCTCAAGGACACAGTTGCTATCTCAGGGCCCCTAGGATACGTGACAAGTGCGGGTCTCAGGATTAGCACTGCCCTGCAGTTAGTCCGGACTCAGGGCCTTCATGTTCCTGTCTTCACACAAGCCATGTGACCCTCACGAGAGCCGTGAGGCTACTGACGTTGGCTGTACAGCAAGTAAGTTTGAAAACCTGACTCCTCCTTAGCAATGACAATAAATGCTGTGAGGAGCGACTCAGACCCTAGAATGGCACCATGTGGGACCTGGTCCCAACCAAGCTCCTTTACAAAGATCATGTGCATACAAATGATAAAGTACGAATAGTCTGTGTTTAGGAAACTAAAGTAAGTGGAAATCCAACTGGAGAAAAAAGTATATATTAGTTTAGGGCAATTATTAGTTGTTGTTTATCACGAGAATGGACAGGTTTTGAAGCAAAAAATATAAAATGTCAAATGCAGTTTACAGCTGCGTATATTTATACAAAACGAGATGTCAGATAACCAGGCTTCTTATAGGATACCTAGGAACTACGCAGAATTCTGGAAAAGACAAGTACGTGCTGTGACACAGTCATAAAAGCGGCCAAGAGCTATTTTTAAAGGAGGCAGACGCAAAACAGTGGACATGATTAGGCCATGGCACTTAAAGGGGCCGTGCCAGGTCAGCCTGCCGGAGCAGTCAGCACCAGGGACGCCTGTGCGATTCTCTCGCTGTGGGTACCACAGCCACTTCCGCTTCTGAAATACAAGCTGCTGGACAAGCTAAGAAGAGCTGCTTTTACTTCAAACGACCTGGAGAATCCTGGCTCTGTAGAAACTACCGTGACAGGAAAAAAAAGCACTTCATCAAATTTTAGACAAGCTGGTTTGAAACGAAACGCAGCATGATTATAACAGATCTTCACACAGGAGAGACAAGCAGCAGCTGAGCATTAACAAAAGCGAAGCATTGAACATCATCACAGGCACGCGTACATTTTAAATTAAACGTAGGTCTGTGTTAAGTTTCTCCTTGGGAAAAAGAGATGTGCTTCTAGTAAACTCACCTCCGTGTTCTAGAAACACACGAACGCATCTCTCCTTTCCTCTCGCTGCCGAGAAGTGGAGCAGGGTCCAGCCGTTAGCGTCGCGGCCATTCGGCGAATAGCCTTGTTCTAGCATCTTCCGCACTGTGTGAACATCCCCGGCGGCCACCGCAGCCTGAATCTGCAACTCTTCCTGGAGCTCAGGGTTCCTTCGACAGTGGTGGTGTAACATCCTAGCTGCGTCCACTTTTCACAAAGGAGTCATTAGGTCGCAGGGATCAGCCTGCGAGGGGAGGCAGAAGGCGCGACATTCAGGTTCCTGGCTCCTGACAGGTGGGTCTGGGAAACATCACAGAATCTTCCTTTGCTACATGGCATGCCTCTTAGTCATGGCGGTTCACACCGCTACGACTCGTTGCCAAGTATCCGTTAGGACCAAAACTTGTGGCCGTTTCCCTAAAATGGCACAAGATTTCCCAAAGAAAGCCAGGCATCAAGCCCTAAATGGCTGAAACAGGACATTTCTTTCGCAACCTTTTGAAAACTCAAAGCAAGCACCCTATGGACCTAACAGCATGATGTGGGGGTAAGACGGGAGGTGGTGGCCAGCCAGAAAACAGGCAACAAAGGGGTCGTGTGAGTGCGTATGGTAGGGGTTCGGGTTTCCCTGAAGCACACGGAGGAGATTTAGGTTGGGGTTCGGGGATTCTATCACAGATCAGCGAGTCAACACACAGTATCAAATGCACGATTCACAGACTATGCATACTGAAGACCTCTAATTATGAGATGCAGTTAAAAAGAAAAACGCAAAAGCCTTTATGCTGCTTTCCTGAAGTATATTAAAAATATTTTATTTTAGCCCCAAAAGGTGGCAGGTTGAGAAGGGAAAGTGGGTGGGGTTAAGTAAACTAGAGTAAAATGTGTGGACTGAATTTACTTCTCTTTGTTTATTTGTGGCTATTTTTACCCTCCCACGTTGTTATTTGATGCAGGATTTACATTTTTTCCTATTTCGGTTTTCTAGAAGTTTGACGCTAAATAGGCTAAGCATCAAGATCATACAAAATATTTAAAAACTTGTACAAAAACTTTTGCAGTGCACTTTTAATACAGAAAATTAAACTTCTGTAGTGTACTTTTAAGCATTTAAAGACGAACAGAAACCTAAACTAACATTATTCTAGGAAGCCATTCCATCTGAGCTAATTTTAAGGAATAGATTAGTCTCATCTCTTACTTAGTAGGCTTCCCTTTCTTAAAAAAAAAAACAAAAAAAACCCCGAAAATTATGTGGTAAAGTTCTTTAAAGACATTTTGGCCTCTCATGTAGCTTAGACATCTTACGATAATCTTGTCACCAATAATAATTTATCTTGTCAAACTCCTCATACAGACTGTACACAGGCAAACTTAACCCTAACTTAGGGCACATTGCCACAGTCTAAGAGTAGAATCAAAGATCCTATGTTATTTTATACACAGAGAAGGGTTATTACACACTTATAAGTTTCACTACTAAGTAATGCCATTTAAAAATATCAGGCTACTTCTACAAAGAGCTATTTCCTAGAAGAAAATTGGGAAACAAGAAATTTCAAGACAATTTTTCTTAAAAAACATGATTTCATGATTTCAGCCCCCCATTTCTTGACTGACTTACTTTTTTCAACTGACACTAAAATTAAGTCTCTTGTTTTAGAAATTTTAAAACCAAGAATCCTTTTTGAATAGGGTCTCACCTATTGTTAACATCTTAAGAGAAGATGTTGAAGACCATAAAAAGGAATTAATGGAAATTACTAATCCGAGCTCAAAACTACCATCTTTAACAGATTTCTTTTAATGAAATGATTATCTTGGCACGTAAATCAGGCCACTTTGCAAGAAAAAGAGTCAATCAATATCAAAAGAAACCTGGATTTTCTTTTAGCAAGTGCTGTGTTTAGTGTACATGAGCTGATTTGAAGGAGGAAAGTAAAAGCTAAGTGGGTTTTCGTCTAGAACAGTATAGATGACCAGAGACCATCAGCCACTTACCGTCCAGAAGAATGTCCCTTTTCCTGACAGGTGGATTGCCTAATGACCATTGTGCACATACAGCATCGTGGGGAGGGGACTCCGAGGGTGTCCAGACGATGGCGTGGGTCAGCCTTCTTAACCTAAAAACAAATAACGGTCGTGGGAAAGCTCCTAAAAATGATCAAGATTCCCTGCATAGCCTACCTTCTGATGAACTTACATTTCAGCGCTTTCCAACAAACTTACAAAGCAGAGAAAGAGAAAATGACCTCAAGACCTACATTCACCTCCACGGTGGCATAAAATACAGTGGTACCTCGGCACTCGCCTTTCATTTGTTCTGGGACTTGTGGCCAGCGCTGAAACCGACGAGTACCGAACAAGTGACTTATTTTCTCTTGCAGGGTGGTGGCGTGACTCGTACGAGTTCCAGCAAGTGCAAGGAGTCCCGAAACAATTTTTTTCTCATCAAAAGGAGATGAGTACAGGATTTGACAAGTTCTGAAGCTGACGAGTACCGAGGTATGACCGTAATTTATTTTCAGGATTTTTTTTTTACCCCTAAATAGGCAGGTTAAAAAAAAAAGAATAAAGAAAATAATAAATTACACATTTGGAATTGGGATGCAAACAAAGATTCTTCTTTTTGCTCTATTCAGAATATATATTTTCAGATTGGCTTCATTTGAAGTACTTTTTATCCTCACACAAGGACGTGCTTACTGATTTAGAGAGGGAAAGGGAGGGAGAGAGAGAAAAAGAGAAACATCAATTAGCTGCCTCCCATATGCACCCTGAGCAAGGACTGAACCTGCAAACTAGGTGTGTGCCTGGACCAGGAATTGAACCTGCGACCTTTTGGTTTATAGGCTGATGCTCCAACCAACTGAGCCACCCAACCAGGGCTCATCTGAATTACTTTTTAACTGACACTATTAGCCACTTGCTTTTTCTCAACAGGACTAAACTAAGAAAATGTATGCATTCAATACAGTAGGCGGCCAAAGCCAAAATGGAATCTATGACAACTAAAAGGAGAACGTGTCTTTAGAGGCTGGTTCTTCATTACGTCCAAAAGGACGTATTGTTATTCCTTCATGCAAACACCAAAGCAGGTAAAAGATTAACAACGGTCTTGCTAGCTTCCTTATAGAAATTTTGCAAACAATTCTCTCTACAACTAAAAGAAAAGAGATCTTTCTCCACACCAGTTAAATCCTAGGCCTGTGAATTCCACTAAGGTTAAGGACACACGCGGAGTGACCTCCGTGCTTTTCCCCAGAATCACGCCAGCAACTGCTCACTGGGAGAACTGCCCCCCATCCGTGTGGGGTGCGTGTGCTCAAACCCACTTTCCCTTCGACTAGAAAAGGTTGGGCCACCTGGCAACAGGCGCCATGGAGGAGAGTGGCAGCCACAGGTGCTGCTGGCTGCTCACCAGGATTTTCCCCCAGTCCGAACGCGGAGCATTCACAGTGACTCTTTCCTGTTTTCACACCTTATTTTTCCTTGTTAAACTTCTTCAAGGAAGAACAAAGGCTTTGCCAACATGCCCTTGGAAATAACATTCGATTTAAAACTCTGCCCATTATTTATTTATTTTACAGTATTTTTTCCACCACCATTTTTTCCCCCTACACCCTTTCCCACCTCCACCCACCCCCTCCCCCGCCCCTGCAATCACTGTATAAACTCTGCCCCTTGTTTCTGAATTAGACATAATCAGAACGACCCCTATGAGGAGTTTGAGAAATGCAGAACTATCCTCACGCAAATGCTGATTCTAAGACTGGGGCAGGAAATAGACAAGATGAGCCTCCAGCATCTTACAGGAAGGAAGTGCTCAAAAAAAAAAAAAAAAAAAAAAGGGAAAAAAAAACTCCCTAACGATGGGGATATGTCAAAGGGACACAGAAGCCGACTGAAGAGCTGTCAATAGCCAAGACAGCACAAGCTGAACAAGATAATTGGATTATTATTGGATTCTAACCCAAAGTATATAATAACGTGTTGATTCAATCGGTTATTTATTATAGAGGATCCTAAACCAAAGTATATAATAAATAACTGACTGAACCAACAAACAAGGTGGCGGGGGGAGATATCCTGTGCAGAACTCCAAGTAATTGGTGTGGATTCTTCCCTCTCAAGAAGGCAGGACATAACCCGCCATCCCTTAAGCGTAGGCCATGTATACAGTGACTTCCTTCTACAGAGGACAGCAGAGAAAAGAGCAAAAAACACTGCTTCAGCCAGGTGATCACCGTGAGGATCAACAGTGCCAGTCATGTTGTCAGTATTACATGACATGACATGACATGACATGACATGACATGATACGCAAGGACTCCTGTCTAGTCATGAGAAAAACATCAGACAAATTGCAATTAAGGGCCATTCCACAGACTACGTGACCAGTGCTCCCCCCCAATGTCAAGGTCATCAAAAATAAGGAAGCCTGAGAAACTGTCACAGCCATGGGGAGTCTGAGGGGACACGATGACTAAATGTGACGTGGTGTCCTAGACGGTATTGTGGGAACAGAAAAAGGGTATTAGGTAAAACCTAAGGAAATCTAAACACTGTATGGATTTGAGTTAATAATAATGTTCATTACCAGTTCATTGACTGTGACAAACGTATCTAAGATGTTCATAGGGGAAACCGGGTGTGGTGTATGTTAAAAAAACAACGCATCCATTGATAAGCCCCCAGCGTTTCCGCAAATGAACACCTGATTACGCCCCAGGCGAGCTGCTCCTACATTTCAGGACTGAGTATCAGTGGGTGTCTCGGCTCTCAGTGTGTCCTCAGCACCTCCTGAGCCCCGAGAGAAGCGGAGAGGACCCTCCGTGGTTTCCAGCCCTTAACAACTCTTGCTGCTGCTGTTGCCGTCCATCTGCCCGTCACCACGCCCCCGAGGCGGTGGGGCGAGTGGCATGAGCGCGAGTGAGGCGTGGGTGAGAACAGGAAACGGTATTCATTTATTAATATTAGCAAGAAAAGCCTTTGTGTTAAAAAGTGAAGCGACTATCTTCTTTCAACAAGGAAGATGCACAGACGACAGTAACTTGTGACAATCCCATGTGGGCTACATCGATCACATGAAGGTCCCCTGGGTGCCCGCCGTGAACATGGCGCACGGTTAGGCCTCGGCCACTGGCCTTACACCGGGCAGAACTTCAGCAGAGGGATCTGCATCCTTAAATTGAATCAAAGAATCCTAGAGATGTTCTGTCACTTTTCTCTCTTCTGAAAATACCAACCCCTATACGTAATAACCGTAGTTTTAAACCCAAAAAGACGCTCTTTACACGCATCAGCCTTCACAGGAAAGAACACACGGACATGTGTACCGTGCACAAAGGATCCCTGTCGGCAGCATCCCTTAACTTATGAAGGACAGTGACTTATTACCCAGTGTCTTAACAGTCCAAAGCATCAGACAAGCAATTAATTTTATCTTGGTGCTATTTTATGAGAGTCTGCACTTCATAGAGTATAGCTATCCACGTACGTATAAATAAAGAAAAAAGGACTGTTTCCAGAAATGAGACTGAAAAAAAAATTCTATTTCCCCTCAAGAAGTGCAAGTTTGAAAACCTGACGGCTCGGGGAAATCACCTGTAAAAGGAAAGAATATGGCACGGGAGGCGAGTTTCTAAATAAATGCATGTGCAATGTAAGTTGTTTTATATTAATAATGACTCAGAATGGCTAAAGTGCTGGGGGTGCAATCTTTAAAATTCCTTTAAGGCTTCACAGTTAGGTAAAAAAAGAGAGAAAACCATACTTACAAGGAAGGCTTTAGAATTATATACCAAAAGAGCCACTGTTATGTTATTACTATGTTTAAATTTTATGAATTCATCTTTTCTACTCAGCATGGGGTCCAAAGATAACAATATAGGCCTCTAACCTTTTAGCCTGTTGACCATATTCACAACTATACGTTCAGGAATTAAATGTTACCATTTAATTTCCATACAGATGCCAAGTAACCATCAGGTTAACACCAAAACTCCTTGCTGCACATAATTTTTAAAAGTCTAGATCCACAGAATGGAGTGAAGAATAACTGTACAACAAAATATATTTAAGACCTGTCTACAATTACATAACTTTCACCAAATTTGCCCACATGTCCCCAATTTCCTTTAGCACGATTAGTCATTAATGGCTTTCTGCATGTTATGTTCACTGAAACTCACACATTTTTTGATTAAGGGACACAAATTAGAAGTGTGCTTTCAGATTTCACACAAGCTAGAAACAAGATAACAGCTTGCTACTCAAAAAAAAAAATAAAAAAGAAAGAAAGAAGCATTTCTTTGCAGAGTAAATGGAGATAGAGGCTGGTGAGGAAATAAAATGAGCAACTCCAAGGATACTGGCTGAGGGGGAAAAAAAATACCCACCCCCCAAACACCAAAGGCTCACAGTCCTAAGAGGGAAAATGGACACATACATGCCCCAAGGCCCAAAGCGTGCAACAAGGCTGAGCTGTATGTCGATGACTTCTACTGATAGGATCAAGAGCCTGGAACCCCAAATAAGGTAGGCGTGTGACCCTAGTATCACTCAATGTAGCACCCTGTTTCCGCTCCAGAACAAGTGAGGCTCTGCGTATTTCCTCCCAGTTACTGGGCCTCCCTATAATGCAAGGATGTATTGTCATGCACAACTTATCCAAGATAAACTCGCAGAAGTTCCAAGAGAGAAAAACCAACAATTTGCATGAAATGTGGATGAGGAGAGAGAGGCAATTTTATAATTCACTTAACCAGACCTGAGTCAAAATTTAAATCACAAGAATTATAAATGGTGAGGGGTATTGTCAATATTGGCTTATGAACCCCTACCTGGCTTTATCATCGCACTAGACTCATGTTAGTACCTAGAAAGTCAGCAAGAAAGGAGATGATCCTTCAATTTAGGGAAGGACTTGAGTTGAGAATAAAAAAAGAAAGGCTGAAAGTCAGGTATTGCATACGCTTATATAAACTTCATCAGACTTTAGGCTTTTTAAGGGGAGTATGTACTTCTCTGTTACGAAAGTTAAATGTGAACAAAAGAAAGAGATATTGTATAGGCTTTTTCAGGATAGTATGTGGTCTCTGTTACCCAAGTTTAACGGGAAGAAAATAAAGAGATAGTATATACGTCATACTAGTAACTATGAACGGCATGACTTTAGGTATAAAGTAAGTGTCGGCTACAGCATACTCAAGATGCCTCACTGAATATCTTCAAGTAAAATCAGTTATTTTCCCTATGCAATTATAACTCTACATTTGACTATCATATAAATCAGGTGTTCTTTTATTTTTTTTTCCCTTGTGATTGGTCACAGAGTGAACACATAGGTTGAAAAAAATAAACCACATAACTGGCCATGCTGGTGAATAAGGACCCAAATTAAACATTTTGAACGTCTGCCATAACCTAGAGCATGTTAATAGTAGGAGCAGATGCTGACAATTTATATACAGGGTCTGGCACAAATAACACCCCTTTTTCATTACAGAATCTTTTATTACAAAATCATAAGCATGTCATTCTGTAACATAACAATATCACACCCAAGCACACCCTATGACATTTTAGGTGAGTGTTCAAATGAAAACTAGAAATTATTACACCCATATTATTACCCTACTAACCACATTCAAGCAAACGTTACTTCTGCCAGACCCTGTATATTCCCTGATATTAGAAAAACCATTAAAAACTGAGAGGACTGGTGAACGCTCATTTAAGAAATGAGGATGAACTGTCTGAGAAAAAGGAGTGTGCGTTCTTTTCCTTACATGTCTGACTTGCCACAGACATTCCTCCCTTCCCCCACCGAACCATCTTGGGTGGTAACACTTCCGAGCAGCGAAAACATGCTAAAGTCTAGGGCAGAAAAATACTGAACTGAGAGACCCGATTAGAAAATACTTAAATCCATTTTTACCTTAAAAACATACTTCAAATAATTTAGCATTTTTTAGAAGTCCTAAGCATTAGGCATCTCTCTGGTGAGTCACTTACTTAAATAATGACAATTGCCTTTAACTTGGTTGACTTTTGCCCAGCTTTTACCGAAACGAAGCGCACCCTCTGTCCACCTACAAAGGCTGCCCTAAGTGTTCACCACAGAACAATCATTGGTATAAACTGATTCTAAGTTGCTGTAGCGTACAGTCTCCCTTTGGTGTCTCGTTTCAGGTCTCAAGGACATGCAAACCCTCAGGGTACCTTAGAAGTCTCTTTAGCTATGTCTTGACAATTAGAAGAATGAAGAAAGCCATTAATTTCCTTTTTGTGGAAGGCAGAAAGTCCAGTGGAACAGAGTATATCAAAGATTTCCTAACAACTTCTGCTATTTTAAGTACCTAAAATTCCCTAAACAGTCTGAGATATTAAAATAACTCTGAGATTACCAAGTCACTTTATATGTGCATTATTGGATGTTAGAAAAGTCATTCACTTGGCTCATTCCTGAACTAAATTAACTCTTGTATGATTTATCTAATCACATCTCCTCTTTGGGAATTCCACGAATGTCCTAAACTTACCTTTAGTGCATTTTCAGAGGCAGCAACAAAATACAGCCATAGAAACGGGATCACATGAATTAGATGCTTACATTTCAATTGAATAAACTATCTATGAGGGTCTTGAAATGAGAAATCTCATTGATGAAGAGGGCAAAAAGAAAGCCCTAGATTCTAAACACACCAAAACATTCCTTTGTTTTTCAATTCTTGAGTGTCAAATGTTAACGCGATATTATGTAAAGTTTCATAAGCTCTAGAAAATCTGAGGTGTAACAAGTTATTATGTATCTTTAAGTTTCAGAACCCATCCACATCTGTCACACAGAAACACACAAAAGCCTGAAGAGTTAATTACACAGAAGCACTTCAGAGGTGGCTATAGCTTCCTTATGGTTCAACTATAAAGGTACACAGACTCACTTTTTCCTAGGGAAAAAGTCACATTATTTTCTGAAACTCATAAATTTCAAGCCATGAGTGCACCTTCCTTTACCAAACCCTTGCCCATTAGGTAACTCAAAAGATTTTCTGACGGAGGTAGAAGAAAGGTGATAGAAAGGAATAAGGGGAAAACAGAAAACTGTGGTTTACTTAAAAAGCAGAGTCATTCCGAATTAACAAGCAATTAACAAGGCATTGAGGAATTCCTATGAGAGTAAGGGGGAAGGGCTACCAAAAGGTCTCCAAGCCTCAGAGCAGGATAAATCGTACAGTTACCAAAAGATCATGCAAAACACGGAAACAGAAGACAGAGAGAAAGGTGGGAAATAACATGTAGGGGATAGGGAAGTTATTAAAATGTTAAGGAGCAAGGCAAAGGCAGTGGTTTTGGTTTTACTGGGAAAGGGGGGGGCCAGGAAAGAGTTGCCCTCCCAGGTAACCACCCTGAAAATAGAGCACTGCTTAATGAGATAGGGGCCAGAAACAAACAATGGGGGAGGGGAGGGCTCGCTCATTACCTTCACAGAGGATGCTGGTGAGAGGCTCTCTCTGCTACTTCTCCGGTAGGTGGGCAGGCCGCTTCCTGCTCTCTAGGCTCCCCGAACCAACTCAAACCTGGAAATCAGAAACCAGTGAGAGGTGCGGTGCCCCTGGGGCGAGGAGAAGGGAGCTTTGAGGGAGGGGAGCAAAGGAGGGAAGTGATCAGGGCAGGCAGGGAGATGCAGTGATTTTCCTCCCCACCAGCCGCCCCCTTCCCTTTAGGGAAGGTAACTGACTTTACCTGTCTCTTCAGCTGCTGCTTCTCTTCCTCCTTTCTGCCTTCTCCACACTCACCAACTTCTCCATTGAAGAAACACCCCAGGCAGGGCCAGACACGGGTGTTCCTGAGCCTTCTCAGTGCCTCACGGCCCCAGCCCGGCAAGCATCCACACAGCCGAGCTGACGCGGGGCGGCGGTCCTGGCCGCGGGGCAGCCTCGGGGCAGGGGTGCAGGGAGGAAGTCCCGGCTTGGGGAGGGGAGGGGGGAGTCCCGGTCTGAGGGCTCGGAGCAGGGGGCTTCCGCGCTCCGGGCCGGAGGCTCCCGGCTACGGGGGAAACGCGGGAGGTCTCGGGGCAACGAGGTCCCGGGTCGTACAGCCTCCTAAGTGCCAGCCTCGGGGGCTCTAGGTAGGGGGGTTTCTGGATGCACTTTGCACTGGGCCACCCCCGCCCCCTCCCTCCAGCACTTTGGGGTCACTGGGATGGGACCAAGCCTTCAACAGCCAATCAGCGGCCGCACCAGAGCCCGAGCCCGGAGTCGTAAACCAGGTCCGGAGTGGGTGGGGGTGGGGAGTAGGGGCGACTTGGTTGGTTGGTTGCTCCCTTCTCTCCTCCTTATCCCTAGCAGCCCCACCCCTTGCCTGCCGTAAAGCCGCCTGCTCATTCGCGACAGCTAAAGGAGGCGTGCCGATCGAAGCTGGGACCCGTCTCCGATTGGCCTCGCTCACTTTCCCCTCGGCTTCCCCGCGGCGCCTTCCAATGCTCCGCCCCTAGCGGAGGGACTCAAAGTGGTTGCTAAGAAACACTGTACGCCGAATGGGGCCTCTGCGCATGCGGGGGGAGGGGCCAGCGTGTACTTTCCGTGAACTACGGTGGCCCGGAGGGGGCCGGTGTTCGCTGGAATGGCGGTGCGAAGGCAGGGTTCTTTGAGTTAGATCTCTGACAGGTAACTGGGATCTGCCGCTGATCTCGGCGACGGGGGAGCCGTGTTTGCGGCCGACTGAGAGATTGACCCGAGGATTTACGGTTGGGGAAGCGGCAGTCCCGGGAAGCGAAAAGAGGGGCGCCTTGTCCCACCGCCCCTCGGCGCTTTTCAGTCTCGACTGCCGGGTCCTGGGCTTGTCTCTATCCCGTAGGCCCCGTTAACTACCAGGCAGAGCATACTTCGCCGAGCGCGGAAGGGAGGACTGTCTTTTAGGGGCGGTGACGCCTCACGGGCTTTTTCCCAGGAGGATAGCGACCTTCACGGATTCCTGTGAATGAAAGGGGAAAGAAAAGAGAAAACGTGCGAGATGGACAGGTTTATTGAGTGCATGTATTCATTTAGCAACGGTTTGCTGGGCGGACACTGTTCTTGCCGCTAGAGAAACAACAGTGAATAAGGTAGATGCATATACTCGTGCCTTTGGAGCTTTCATTTTGACAGGGGAGACAAAAACACAAAACTAACATTCGGATATATTGTGTAAAGAAAATCCGGCAGAATAATGGCATCGAGTTTGACTGGGACGTGATGGCTATTTTAGGTAGTTGGGGAAACTCTCTTGAGGAAGTGACGTTTCAGCTGCGATCTGAATGTGGAGGATCCGGCCATGCCAACAACTGGGGAAGGAAATGCAGGCAGAGAGAACCACAGCGCAAAGCCTCTGATGCTGGAATAACCTTGGCTATTGATAGGAACTGCAAGAAAGGCCAGCGTAGTCAAGCAGAGTGAGTAAGAGGGAGAATGCTTGGAAATGAGGTTGGGGGTGTGGGACAGGCTGCGATCTTGCAGGACCTTGCAGACCATGGTAGGGAAGTTGTTGTATCTTATGTATGTTTTGAAAAGATCGCTGTCTGCTCAAGGAGAAGACCAACTGGGAGCCGGGTTACTGCAAACACGGAAGACTATAGGCTGGGCAAAAAGCTGACATTATTTTAAACTAAGTCATCCAATTAGACAAGACATTTGGCTATCACCAATGTCCTACCTACTTATATAAAAGAAGTAATTGCAGTGTATCAACTTCTTTTATGTAATAAAAACACATTAAGATGTTGTATGACAGATGGGGGCCACTAAAGGCACTTTCAGTTTGCTCAGATATATATAGAGAGATATATAGATAGATAGATATAGATATTTTGCATTTTCATTTATTCAAGAACAGTCATTTCGGTTCCTTCCCCGGGAGCTACCTATTGGGTTAGGTAGGCAAGCTGGGCTCAGTCCTGCCCAAGGAAGCTCATAATCAAGTGTGAACCAAACCAGGAAATAATTATGGACAAATTCTGTGGTAAAGGCTAGGATAGCATTTGGCAGGGACCCCACCCAACCCCACCTTGGGTACACAGGTGGCCTACCAGACCAGAGGTTTCCACCTTGAAGGCAGAGCATGGAAAGGAGAAAACTGAGTATGATTTAGTCAGAAAGACTGGGCTATGCAAAGCTTGGGCATCCGTCAAGTATACAGTGTTCCTGGAGAAATCAGAGAAAGCCTGGAACTTCGTTTGTGAGGCACTGGTGTGAGGAGACTCCAATGGTCAGTTCTTGAAGGCCTTACTAAGCCACGGTCTGGGGTTTGGACTTGATCTTAAGGAAAGAGGTTTTTAGAAGGAAGTGGGTGTAGGGTAGGCCAAGAAGCACCACTTAGCAAGGCATCAGTTGCAGTTGTCCGGTGTCGGTGTGGTAGGATGCAGTAGTGGCGGCGAGGATGGAGAAGACTGGGGTGAGGAAGGGTCCCGCGGGATGTCTAGGTTTCTGGCTTGGGTGACTAGGAAATACAGATGCCATATACTAGTATATGGGGAGTACAGTGGAAAACAAGTTTCAGGGGCCATAGAGGAGTTGAGTGTATGCTGAAGGTGCCTGTGGGATCTCCAAGTGGCATTGAGATACCTGAATAAGGAGCCCAGAGGAGAGCTAGACCCTGGCTGGGGATTCTGGAGTTGTTAGCGTGGAGGCTACTGTAATCTTGTAATATAGCATGGAACCTGGAAGTGGGATGCCTCCAGATTGTCTGCAGATTGCTTTGGTTATTCAGGATCTTTTGTAGTTCCGCAGAAATTTTAGGGCTGTTTGCTCTGCTACTGAAAAATGCTATCACAATTTTGATAAGCATTGCACTGAATCTGTAAGTTATCTTGGGTAGTATGGACATTTTAACTATGGACTCCTCCAATCCATGAGCATGGACTATTTTCCATTTATTTGTGTCTTTAATCTGTTTCATTAACATCCTGCTTTATACAGGTCTTTTACATCTTTGGGTAAATTTATTCAGAGGTATTTTTATTCTTTTTGATGCACTCGTAATAAGCAAATAAAATTGTTTTCTAAATTTCTCTTTCTGTTATTCATTCTTAGTATATGGAAATGCAAGAGAGTTTTGTATATTGAGTTCGTATCCTGCAACATTACTGATTAGTACTTCTAACAGTTTTTTGGTGGAGTTTTTAGGATTTTCCATATAAAATATGTAGTCTGCATATAGTGATAGTTTTACTTCTTTCCAATTTAGATGACTTTTGTTTATTTTTCTTGCCAAATTGCTCCGGCTAGAACTTCCAATACTGTTTTGAGTAGAAGTAGCAAGAGGGGGCACCTTTGTCTTGTTCCTGATCTTAGATGAAAAGCTTTCTGTTTTTCACCGTTGAGTACGATGTGAGCAATGGGCTTATCATATAGGGCCTTTATTGTGTTGAGGTATGTTGACAGTTTGTATCAAAAATAGTTGTTGAATTTTGTCAAATGCTTTTTTCTGCATTTATTGAGGTGATCATATGATTTTTAGCTTTCATTTTGTTAATGTGGTGCATCACATAGACCGATTTGCAGACGTTGAAGCATCTTCGTGTCCCTGGAATAAATCCCACTTGATCATGATGTATGATCCTTTTAATATATTATTGAATTTGGTATGCTAATATTTTGTTAAGGATTTTTTTTTTCATCTGTGTTCATCAGAGATATTGGCCTGTAATTTATCATTTTCTTTTCTTGTGGTGTCCTTGTCTGCTTGTCTGGTTCTGGCATAAGGGTGATGGCTGCCCTTGTAAAATGAGTTGGCAGTGTTCCCTCCTCTTTCGTATTTTTGGAAGAATTTGCAAAGGCTTGATGTCCATTCTTGTTTAAATGTTTGGTAGGATTCACGCTGAAGCCACCTGGTCCTGGACTTCTGAGTGCCGCGAGACTGATTCCTGATTCAATCTCCTAAGTAGTAATCTGCCTGTTCCGATTTTCTGTTTCTTCATGATTCAGTCTTGGTGGGTTATATGTTTCTAGGAATTTATTTCTTCTAGTTGTCCAGTTTGTGGGCATAGAAACTTACGCTCAAGCTTAAAGCAAAAGGAAAAGTGACATAGCTTTCTAGGCAGAGGGAACCGCATTGCATCAAGGTCCAGAGCCAGGAAGGCACCTTTCAGGGGACTAAAGAGAGGCGTCCTGGCATCCTCTTACTTACATTGTATAAATGTGTTCACCACAAAAGCCCTGCATGTTCTCAAATCTCTGAGTGTGTGCCACTTTGCTGAGATGGGGCAAGTGACCTTATATTCTCAACTGAAAATCGAATCTTATTTGTACAGTGTCCAGAAATCAGGAGCTGAGTATAACGTAGGTAGTCACACTGATGGAGAGTCCCGCCACTGGTCGTGGTTTTTTTTGGGTGGGGGCAGGAGGAGGAGGGAAGGGCGCAGAGATCAGTGAAGGGGACTGAGTGATGAAACTTTTCCTTGTGAAGCACCACTTAAAATGTAGAGCCGTGTTTTAGCAACTAAGGGTGGGAAAGTCTTGTTATTTTATATTGATACACTAGAGGTTCTCCATTTTCCAAAAAAATTAAAATATAAAAAACCAACCCACGTAGCATTACCATGATATACTATAAACCTAATGCTGTCAGGTTCCTTGTCAGTAAAATGGAGTGGATTGATCAGTGCTGATCTTCCTCCTCAGTCCAGTTCTCGGGCCCTCTTCAGACCCACTGAACCAGAGCCGCTGAGGCTGGGCCCAGCTGTCCAGTTCTGACAAGCCTTCCGGGGGATTCGGAAGCTAGTTGGAGAACCACTAGTCTAGATCATCTCTGAGATTTTTTTTTTTTTCCCCTGGAACTAAAATGTTCTGATCGTAATGTTCTCCATGTGCACTATGCAAAAATGTTTGCCTTGGGAGTGGTCGGTTTAACGGCGCTGTCTGGAGAGGATACACATGGTTATTTTCTGGTGATCATGTTTATGTTACCTGCTGCCACCCCTCAATTATCCCAGGCTTCTGGGAACAAGGTGACTTCATTACTTGTCTAAAACCAATATAGGCTCTTCATCAGTTTATCCAGCAGGTGAACTAGGATGGCCCCAGAGGAGTTGTCAAGTTCAGAGGAATGTGACGCTTGCTTTTGCCCGGCTTCCCGTCTCTGAGACTGCATGCCCCCGACCTCCGTCCTGCACTCTCTTAGCAGGTGCCTACTACGTCTCTCATCAAGGATCTGGCATGGCGGCATTATTTACAGTAGCCGAGATACGGAAGCAACCTACGTGTCCATCCATGGATGAAGGAATAAGGAAACAAAGAAACAAACAAAAACCCACCAAACTGATAGATATGGAATAGATACAGAGATGGGGGCCAGAGGAATGGGAGCAAATGGGTAAAGGGGCGGGAAAAGGGACAAACTTTAAAAAGGCCTGGGATTGCAAGGTATAGCATGGTGAGTATGGTTACTAATACTGTGCTGCATATTTGAATGTTTTGGAGAGAATAGGTCTTAAAAGTTCCCATCACACACACACACATACACACACGCTTTTTGGAACTATGTATGTTGATGGACATTACTAGAGTTATGGTGATCCTTTGCCTGAACACCTGAAACTAATACAATATTATAAGTCAGTTATAGCTCAATAAAAAAATAAGAAAACACGAAGAAGAACCTGTAACCAATGTTTTATATTTGTGCCTGCTCTAACTTGCTGCCCTCTTCAAAATAGCGGAGGAGAATTGTTTTCTTTTTTGTTTTTTCCTCAAAATCAAGCCACATTCCTTAACTTTTTTAGAAGCAACCCTACACCATACATAGAAGTGCCAAGAAAGCAAAAGAAGTGTGCGGGGCAGGCGGGTCGTGGAGTCGGTCGTGCCATGTGCTGACATGCTCAACAGAGCCAGCTGGGGCATCGGAACTAAAGGCGGATGTTCACTGGGGGTTATTGCAGAGACAATCGCCTGTAATTGGACCTTGCCAGCACCCTGTGGCCTGGGCACTATCATTATGCCCCTTGAACACACGAGGAGACTGAGGCTTGGAGGACTATGTGGTGGAGCCATTTGACTCACTCCCAGATGGCAGGCCCTTACCAATGGACCAGAAAAACACCTAACCATTGGCCTTCCGCATATATTTGGAGTCTTACCTATGACTTAATTATCAGGCTTTTCCGTCGTGCTAAGAAATAATAAAAACCTGACCTGTATCAGAATCCTACAAGTACGAGTTCAGTAAAAAGGACAATTTACCAACACGTGGAGGGTGGAAGAGTGGACCGTGCTGCGGTAGAAACACAGGAACTTGTTACAATAGAGACACAAGTTACTGGGCTACTGCCGCTGGAATTCCTAGGGTAAGGCCCCGCGGTCTTCCTGGGGACTCTGAGGCAGCTGAAATGTGAGCACCATTGTTTTAAGGAAAAGAGCTAGAGGGATGGCGTACCCCTGGGGCTAGTAACTGCCACCGCCTGCTCTAGGCCAGAAGGTAAATAGGAGGAGGAGTTCCTGAAAGAGCGGCCTCCCCGCCCCACCCCGCCCCCCTTTGCCCCTGTCCCCCCCCGCCCCCTACCCCCCAATCTGCCTTCGGAGCCTGTTGGGCTGTGAGAAGGTGGAGAGTCAAGCAGTGCAAAAGGGGACGGAGCTCAGCACAGGGCGGGCTCTTGGGAAAGTATCCCTTCCCCTCCTTTCTATGGGGAGGGGGGGCGCATTTGAAATCACAGCTAATCAGCTTTGATGGCTCAGGTGATACACAGGGACGATGGGAACCTCTGTCCTTTCCGTTGCTGGGCTTAACCACCCGCGTTAGCCTCCCCTCACCTCGGCCCTGGTATCTGGGCCTCCCCCAGGTCCCTAAACCACCTGTCCAGTCTAACCAGGCAGGGCATCAGGCCCCCCGAGGACAGCCTTGTTTAGAGCACTTCAGCTTCTGCCTGGAGAATCTAGGCATCCTTGTTAACGGAGGGATGCAGATTAAGAAACTACAGGCCCTGGAATTAGATCTTCTGGGTTCACATCCCGACCCTGCCACTTAACCAGCTCTGTAAGCTGATCTCTGGGTGCCTTCGTTTCCTTCTCTGTAAAACGGGTGTGATAAGTGGGTATCCACCTCATGTGGTTGTGGGGAAGCAATTAATCACTTAGAATAGTGTCTCATGTACAGTAGGCACTTGATACCAAGTTTAGAAATTACTATTCCTTAGAGTCAACTTTATGTGAAGGTGCTTGGGAAATATGTTATTTTTATATGAAGACACACGGTTCTGTTAGTAATAGAACACAAAATAAAAGTAGTGTATAGTGCTTAAACAATGCAAGAGAGACCTCAGGCTGAACGCTGTAGTGGGTTCCCCCTGGGGTCCCTGGTGCGGAAGTTCACTGTCCTCTGTCAAGAGGAATTTTCTGAAAAAACTCGGAGAAGCCCTTACTTATCCTAATCAGGCCTCTCCCAACACACTTGTTTCCTTTCCGGGCCGGGCAGTTCGCTCTCCTTTATCGGCTCTAGCTGGCATCCGAGCTTCTCAGCCTGCTGAGCGCCCCCCTCTGGATGCTTTACGTTGTTAGTGTCTCTGCAGGTCTGGGTGTCTGAGGGGTCCCCTTCCTCCAGGTCAGCGAGGTAATGCAGCCTGAGGCCACCAACCTTGTAGTGCCACTTGGGGGGGGGGGGAGTCATGGGTTCAATTCCCTAGTTTTCTCAGAGTTTGCCCTTTCCTTTGATGTTATAATTGGTGACGTTTTTTGAAAACAACAAAGACTAAAAAAAAAAAAAACCCCTGCAGTTCTCAGTTCTCAGTGGGCTGCCCACAGACATTTATTTTGATGCACGTTTCTTTGGGCAGCACTAATGTTTTAAAAGACTTTGTCATTAGGATGTTTATGCTGAGTCACAACAGAAGCAGCCTCGCACCTGCTTGCTTCATTTGTTACCTGCGGGGCATCGGGACCCCCTAGTGGACGCTTGGTTTGTTTCCTCTGTCTATAAAAGGTCATTTTGAGCCTGTGGCCCTTGCTGTGTGGGTGGGACCCAGTGTAAATGGCAGACCTCGGAAGTCTGTTCCAGTGAGGAGGGAGGTCAAACGTGGGCCGGGCATTGATAAGTCAGTCAGGAAACTGCGGATTTGGTTAAAGGATCCATTTTAAGAGGACAATCATGACTCATGTAAAAATGAATGGGTATCCATCATCATATTTAACTCATGAATCCATGAAAGAGGTAGATGTCACAACCACTTTAAAAGCAAAAGAACCACAACTTTACCTGGAGGGAAGGAACGTTGAAATGTGTGTATAAATGTAAGCAAAGCTGGCTTTTCTCCCTGCTGGGCGGGTGGCCCCTCCACCAGACAGCATTTGCATGTCTATAGACAAGATTCATTTGCATGGCTATTGGTTATAGTTCACGGAGGTGTAAAATAGCCCCAAGACAGGGAAAGAATTTGGCCTCGGGATCAGATAATTCCCAGAGGCACCACCATTTTATTGAAGGATATTTAGTAACCTCTTCGCTGATGCCGAAATCTTCAAATTTTCTTTGCCCTGTTTACTCTAAAGTAACTACACTCCCTCTGATATTCCTCTGTACTCGACTGCCGTTTTCTCTACTTCAGAAGCTGTCTCAGACCCTAAATCTCGTTTCCCCTCTCCCCACTCTTCCAGGTCCCCATCAAGCCGGGGGGTTCTGGGACAACCAGACGTCTACATTTGCATCCGGAGACAAGGAGGGTTTACTCACGTCCAGATTACTTTGCTTTAACATCTTGTGTCTTTCTCGGGACGGCATTTTTATAATTTAATGTTTTAAGTGATGACCAAGGTCTCCTATTATTATGTAACTTTAAGTTGGAAATTAATCAGTAATAACCATATACTGTTTGACCACATAGCTACCTAACTTTAGGCTTTCATGTATAAATTGGTTGAAGGTCGAGGAGGCCGATGAGTATGAGTTCCTGGGTGGTTTTCACCCTGGGCGATTTTACCTTCCCAGGTAGTGCTAGTGTTATCTTAGTGGGTAAAGGCCAGGGATGCTGCTCAACTTCCCACAATGCACAGGGCAGCTTCCCGGGCGATGTTACTAGCACTAAGGTTGAGAAACCATGTTGGCCCATTGAAAACAGAGGAAAGCTGTGATAAAATTTAAAATAATTTTGTGGTCTTAAATCTGTATGGAAAACATACATTTTGTTTTTATGGTATTAAAATAGTGTTCTTAAGCCCTAGCTGGTGTGGCTCAGTGGATTGAGTGCCAGCCTGCGAACTGAAGGATCGCAGGTTTGATTGCTAGTCAGGGCATGTGCGTGGGTTGCAGGCCCGGTCCCCCAGCAGGGGGCGCACGAGATGTAACTACATATTGACGTTTCCCTGTCTTTCTCCCTTCCCCTCTCTAAAAATAAATAAAATCTTTTTTAAAAAAATGTTCTTATTACCAACATTCCACTATAGAAGTCAAGCAATCAGAATGGTCTCTCATTTAAGAGACTAAATGACTAAGTGGAAACAGATACCTTTCCTTTATAATACGATGTATTATAAACACAATGTTAAAATTATTTTTCCTATTTTAGGTTTTACCGAAGAAACACCTTACAGATTTGTCACATTTCTAAGTTTAGTATTCACCATTTGGAATTGTCAGTCTTCCTAGAAGATCTATTTTGGCCATCAAAATGAAAGATGTCTTCGAAGTTTTAGAACAATTATATAAGAAGGTGCTTCTTGGAGCCACGCTCGAAGGCGACAACCAGGATTACGTCTTGTGTCTCAGCCCCGCATCGGCAGACCAAGATGGCGCCACTGACCCCTCCTCTGAAGACTCCGACAACCCTGGTCCCCAGGGCAAGCGTCAGCCACGCCCTGTCGATCTGCCTCCCACCCCTGCAGCCCCTGTGGGTTGGAGGAGCAGTGCTCGGGAAACCAACCTTTTTCAGTTAACCGTGATCCAAGTGATGGTAACCAGAACGTTGTCTGTCGAGACCGAGTTCCACGCGAAGGAGAAATACAGAGAGATAATTAAAATTCTTTTACAGGCCTCTGACTTCGATTCTAAATTAGTAAGCCATTTGTTTTTTGTAGGTTATGTATATTTCTTAAGATCCGCATTTTTAAAATACCAGTTTTAAAGACATCAGCAATAGTGGATAAATTTGTTTGTTTTCTCATAGACCTGGATGTTCCAAAGCTCGGATAAATTGTTATCTCACATGGCTGCAAAGGGCCTCGCATTGCTTCTGTATTTCCGATTGAAAGAAAAGGTCAGTAATCAAACTATGTTACTATTCCTTTTCTAGAGTCTTTAAAGTGACTCTTTGGCATTCAGTTTTACCCTTCAAATATTTGTATCAATAACACACTTGCTAACATAGTAACCTGTAAATCCACAAAAGTGTAAGAACGCAATAACATGATGGTGACTTGTATCAAGGATTAGAATCTCAAATATGTTGTGACTCATTACAAGTCAGACTCTCAGCCTGAGGTCTGGGGGTGGTTTCAGGTGAGAGGGTCCATAACTTCAGGTTCTCAAAGGAGTAGGTAGGCTTACACCTCCGCCTTCCTTCCCCCCATCTCCGCCCCCCGAAAAAAGGTTTAGAACTCCTGCCTGAGACCAAGACCAGTTTTACAGGTTTACTATAAATAAGTTCTAGGAATGGTCATCAGCATAATAAAAAATAAATAAATTGAGCATCACATTTTTCTTATCTCTGAATTACTTAATAAACAAATCTAAGCGTCTCCTGACTTTCAGCTATAAATGCTTGTTCCTTTCTGAAAACATTTTTTCCTGAAAGCAAAGAAGGTGGTATTTGCAGTAGAAAAATTGGAAAATGAGAAAAATAAAAAGAACAAAATAAAAATGACATATTTTGCCACCTGGTTATAACCTCTGCTGATATTTTCATGTTCCCTTTTGATCCTTTATTTCAGTGAGTTATTGAATTTTGACTTAAAGAATATTAGGATATTTGTGTCCTCATTTTAACAAATATACTTTTTTAAAAATAAATGTTGTATAGAGTTGTATTGTGTATAATAGATGATTTGTAATTGTAAAGAAAAGATTATAACTTACCACTTTTTAAAATTTTCTCACTTGTAGATAACATTAAGTAATGCCTGGATTGCTTTTTGCCAAAAAAATCTTTCTGGATACTCTGAAAATGATAAAGTAGTATACTGCCTCTACACTCTTACTGTTGTAATAAAAGAAATCTTTAAAGATACATGTTCACAAAAAACAGGTATGGATTATATTCCCCATAAACAATTGTCATTATCTTGCTCCAAAGGAGAATTGTATTTATAACAAACAGTAAAACTTATTTTACAACATCTGATCTGTCTCGAAGTATGAAAAACTAAAGAATCTTGCCCCGTATTTTTTGATTGAGGATACCTTTTTCAAGGAAAATAATTTAAAGCTTTTCATTATTATATATCCCTAGCATAATCTGATGCTATGTTTCTCTGTAAAGTGGATATTAACTGTGGTTATTAGCTATTAGTCTGTGTATCTTCATTCATTCACGTTAGGGGTAAACAATACAAATCCAATTTTTCATCCTGTAACGTGATAACATTTATAAAAATGGAAGTGTAAGCATGTGTTTTAAGAAGACTTTGTTTTTCCTGATGTTTATAATTACTGTTTTTTAATTGCAGAAATCTTAAAGCGGTTCCTGACTCCTTTTGATGCTGTTCTTGAAGTCTTTTACAATTCCTTATTTTCTCAGTATTTTGAAACCGTCCAGGACACTTCTAAAATAGTAAACAGCTTGATATATTTTCTGGAATTGCTTGAACTTCTTATAGCTTCCAGAATCCACCTGGACTTACATTTCACCTGCCAGAGGATTTTCTTTTTGAAACCTTCCTGTGTGCTAGACGTCATTACCTGGCCTGTTCATGCTTTCGTCAAAAGGAAGTGCATCATATTCATTAAAAAGTGCCTTCTGTGGAAAGCAGGTGAAGACCTTTGTCGAGGTTCTGTTGCTGCCTCACGGCCACCAGATCAGCATTTAGGTGTGGACATGCTGGCTTTAGCTGATGCTGTTCTGCAAGCTGTGGATTTGGGCTTATTGAAGACATTGTGTGTCCCCGGGAAACCTTCCTGCTTTGGAGGCGGGGAAGTGCCACCAGGCTGTGAAGGTCTCCCTGGTCCAGATCACGTGATCCTCAGAGCAGTGAGCTTGCTTATTATTAAATCCTTAGAAGTCAAGTTTCAAAATTGTGCCTCAGCGAAGGAAATGAAAGGTAATTCTCCTAACTCCTTTTGTATGCAAAGTAATGCGTAATTACTTACTGAAGTAAAATTATTCGTAATTATCAAATCTCAGAACTGTACTTCTACTAATTGAAGCTAATGTATATGTAACCCAAGTAATAATTGATCAGATTTTCTTTTAAAAAAAAGGTAATTAGAATTACCTTAAGAAACACTGCTTTTGGGGGGCTAAGCTGACTTTGCACAGCATAGTTAGTGACTAAGTTTAAGAAAAGGGAGGTGCTGTTAAGTTACTGCAAAGTAAGTGACATAAATCAACTCATATGCGGATATCTGCAGTCTTTCAAATTTTCCTTAATAAAGTTGATATATCTACTAATATGTGGAAAGTTATATTGATGAAGAAATTGTTGCATATAATTTCCAGCTCGGAGTCCAAGAACAGACATTTAAAGTATGATATTCAATTTAGGTGTTTGGGAAGATGTATTCTCCTTTTCATTTGAGAAAAATGAAACGTAAACATCTCTAAACGAGCAGCACATAGTTTTAGTGAAAGGTTTGACTTGCAAGCAGTGACTTCCCTGAATTGCTTTGGACATCATTTAGCTGGAAGTAACTATTTTACTTGTTATAATTCTGTGCAGTTATAATTTACAGCACTAGGTGGCGTGTGTTATATAATTCAGAATTCTAAATTACAGTTGAAACTTCCCTCTTTGCTTTTTGTGTTTAATGTAGTAATTTCTTCAAATGTTTTAAACAAACAAGAAAAATTTTCTGTTATTTTTAAAACAAAATTACTTTTGATTTGTTGCATTGTTGCCACTCGTAACAGACAGCTGTTGTCTGCTGCTCATTCTGTCGTCTGCTTCTCATTCGTTTACATGCTTTTGGCAAGAATTCATGTAACTTTTAGTTCTCAAAGATAATTGGTTATTTGGCAATTGTAGCAAATAGACAATCTGACAGTACATTTTAACGGAATTCTATTGAATGAGTCACGTTTTCCCTCTGAAGCTCAGTTTCCTAATTTGCAAAGTAGAGATAATCCCTAACTTGCAGACATTTGGAAGTATGAATTATAATAATGCATTTTTAAGTACTTTAGATAACTATCATCCTGTATAAGGTAGGCAGCATGATATGACTGTATTCATAGACGGGTGCCTGTGCTTTAAAATTTTCATTATTTGAAGTTGATTTACAGAGGTTCATGTCGGAGTTACTGGCCTTCTTAAAGCCTCACCTTGAGCCCTCTGTGCAGCCACAGCATCCGTGTGAGTGGTTGTCTAGGGTCTTCATCGAACAAGACGACGACATGCTGGAGGCTGCCAAAGCGTCCCTGGGCATCTACCTGAAGTTGACCAGGTTAGTGCATTTTAAAGTGACTCTACTAACTGCATGCCAGGAAAGCAGACAACATTTTAATACCGTGCTGGACCTATTATTTACTTTCCATCATTAGGAGGGAAAAAAAAAATCCCTAACAATCTTGTGGTTTCCTTATAAGTTCCAGTTCCTTTCTTTAACTCAGCCCTGCATGAAAATGAGCTTGCTCTTGAGTTCTCATTAGAAAACTTGGTTGGCCAGGCAGGCCCAGGGCTGCAGAGCTGGACTGGGGTTCGAAACCACGTGCCCTGGTTCAGCCTCATCTCTGTGCTACCTGTGCGGGAAGGAGTAAGTTAATACCTTGGTCTGACTCTGGCTCCCACTGACGTTTCAGAACTCTTTCTACCTCTAAGACTATCTTTTCTATTTGGAGCTCCTATGAGGGGACTTTTGCCTTTGTAAAGATGAGTACAAACTGGTAAGTCATCGAAAGAGCCGTTCGAAGGCTTCCTCCTAACACACGGTTGAACTGGAGCTGGTATCATCATGAGGCAAGTCTCTGAAATTGATTATGAAGTTATGTTGCTGATGACATTTTCTGCTGATCCTATTTCTGCCTTATTGCAACAGCTGTACTTGGAGTAGTATCTTCTCGTGGCAAATATCTGTAATTGGTTATGAAGTTAATAACCGACGACCTTGTACAGTGTTTCTGCTTCTGCTTTATTAAAACCCTAAAGTATTGGCTCTATTTCCATTTCTGTCTTGGCCCCAGAGCAAGGGCTTTCCCTCCCGATGATCAGCGGCGCAACCCCCCGCTGCTGGCTTCTGCTCGTGACACGGCACTGCTGGCCGCGGCCGCCGCCGCCAGACTGGAAGGGTTTGGGGCCAGTTTTCGAAAGGTTCTCATCAGGAACACAGAATTCCCGCATGTGATTTGAATTAGGCTCAGAAACGGTCAAATACACATTTAATCTGAACGCACATGGCTCTTAGAATAATCTTCGTTGTGCTCAAAGCCGGCTGCTTACTACCCGGGAAAGAGGAAGCCTCTGAATTGAATTCACTTCGCATGTGAATTTCTCACTGTCTTAACCTCAGTTCATTGTGTCCAGACAGGCGTGGATGTATGCCATATGTGTTTTTTAAGGTAATTGTATTAGTTAAGATTGTTCGGCTGTCAGTGATAGAAACCAACACAAACTATTCTGTGCAAAAATTGGAATTTATTGGCTCTTAATTGGGAATTCGAAAGGGTCCAGTTGGTATCAGGCATAACTGTATATACTGGGATTCAAATCATGCCCTTGGTCATTTCCCTTTTTTTCTGTCTCACAGCTCTGAATTCATCCTCAGGCAGGGCCACTAGCAGCAGCCTTATGGTTATAATCTTTAATAACTCCAGCAGAAGTCGCTGGGGAGATCTGATTGGCTGTGTGGGTCATAGATTCACATTAGAACCAATCATGGGGACCAGGAGCATGGGGTATTCTGATTGGCCATCTGGGTCACATGCCCACCCCTGATCGGGAGCGGGAGGAAGGAAAGGAAGGAGACTGGGGTGCAGCTTCGCCTTACCCGCCTTACCACGCGGCATTAGGGGTTACCTGTAGGAATGAGGAAGTCTGGTGTCAGGTGACAGAAGACGGAGTACTTTTGTTTGGCACAAAAACTAGAACTATCAAAACCGGTGGGTTTTGTTTATTTTATTGAGTCATATAGAGTTTGTGGAGAGAGAGATGGGTTTGAAATTTTTTCTCTTAAAATAATGCATAGATTAAAAAGCAGCCTGGTAGGTGAATTTATTATGGGTGACTTAGAGCTGCTAAAACTCATTTTTATAAAATGAGTCATTAATCTAGAGTCTCCATTATCTTTATTTTCAGAGGATATGAAGCTGCGGAAAGTGTGACCCAAGAACTGTGGAACCGTCACACACATGAAAACGGCTATAACCCACACTGCGTTTTTCTATTCTTTTTGAAAAATATCGGATTCGATTCTACAGTTCTTCTGGACTTTTTGATTTCATCAGAAACCTGCTTTCTTGAATATTTTGTCAGATATTTAAAATTACTCATCAAAGACTGGGATACCTTTTTCACCATTTGCAAGGACTTTGATGTCACAGACTCTAATGATAGCACAAATATTTGTGGTTTTATCTCCTCACTTGGCCAAGACCGAAGCAGCCACCAAACAGGATTGAGCCTTTTGGCTGCTCTTGGCGGTGGCAGGAGCGCTCGTTCCTGTGTCTCCTGGGCCGCTGGTGCCTCCTCTGAACCTCAGAGCCAGGTTGTGATGTCCCCGGAGGCCCGTGCCACACCCCAGGCTGGCCGTCGGCCGTCCTCTCAAGCTTCCCAAAGCCTGGTAGATTATGACACCTCTGATGATTCAGAAGTAGAATCCACAGACCCGTGTTTAGCAAATAGTAAACAAACATCTTTACACCACGAAGCAAAGCAGGGAATTCAGGACACAGTGGGAACAAGTCGGGGTGAAAAAGAACTTAGTCTGGAGCCTCAGTCAAGGCCTGTTCCGGATGAAACTAATACTCCTTTCCCTGTTGCTGGTGACGTAGCCCCAAATAACGTCGTCTACGAAGTGGGACTATCTCACAGAACAGTAAAATGCTTTGAAGAGCTACAAGGTGCCATTTCCCGTTTGCAGAAGAAAAATCTTTTCCCATATAACCCAACAGCACTTCTGAAGTTGTTAAAACAGATTGAGGCAATATGTACTAAAAGTATGAACGCTTTGTAAAACAGTGGCATTTCATTTCCCCGAACTATTTTGCCTTGATGAGATAATAGTGAAAAAGAAAACCTAAAAAAACTTCTCTAAAGTACGTCTCTCTTTTTGCCTATTGGAAGCAACCTAGGGACTTAAACGTGACCTGTCAACTGTAGTTTTACACCACTTGAAATGGTTATTGTATTAGTTTGCTAGGGCTATTGTAACACATTACCTCAAATAGAAATTGATGATCTCATAGTTCTGGAGGCTAAAAGTCCCAAGTCAAGGAATGGTATGGCTATGCTTTATCTCAGGACCTGAGAGAAACGTCCTCGCCCGCCTCTTCCTGGCTTCTGGAGGTCCCTGGCAGTGCTGGGTGTTCCTCGCCTGGCACCTGCCTCAGTCACATCTCTCCCCCATCACCGCCTGATGCTTGTTGTCCCTGGGTGTCTATCTGCATCCAGTTTCCCTCCTACAAGGACAGCAGTCACTGGCTCAGGGCCCACTGTCATCCAGGGTGGCCTCATCTTCCAAATAAGGCCACATTCACAGGTGCGGGGTGAACGTGAATTTGGGGGGACACTAACTCAGTACAGTTATTAGTTTTTCCAGACTGTGATATGTAAAAATTGTAAATGTTAGCAATTTTTTTAAAAAAAGACACAATTAGCTTTAATTACATGTATGTAGATGGTCTATGAACAGGGACTACTCTTTTAAAAAAATGTTAATCCCTAGGTAATTTTCCTATTTAAAAATCTGAAATGCCCTTAAATTTTTTTCTAAATGATCCTTTTGTAGAGGAATGTAAGGAAAACAATCTACTAGACATTAAAGACCGGTCGTCTAAACAGGTTAGTATTCATGTGGGTACAAATGGGAAAGATCAGTGGAATTCAACAGAGGACTGCTAATTAAAATAACAATGAGATACTAATGTCAACCAATTAGAAATGCAGAGGTCAAAAAGTTTGTTAACAGAGCTGGGGTATATACTGGGGCAATTTCTACATAAATTAAAAAGAATGTCCAAGACTGTATCCAAGTATGGCCAACACCACATTGTTTGTAGAAGCAAAAGACTAGAAATAGGTAAGTCATAACACATACTCAGTGGACTACTTATGTAAAGACTGGGCTATATCTATGTTTTCAGATATGAAACATAGTAAAATTTGGTACACTGGCCTTCCACCTGTTTAAAAAAAGGTACGGCAGGACTAGTACACAGATTTATATATGCTTTTGTGGTTTATAAAATATGTAAGAATATATAAGACAGTTGTAATAGTGGTTGCTTGAGAAACAGATGGGAAGTAAAAGGTTTGACTTCTCATATAGCATTTTTATTCTATTTATTTGTTTTTAACTGTGTACATACAGTTTTTCAGGGAAAATATCTTTTTAAGGAAAGAAATACAACCAAACTGATTCTGTATATTTTCAAGGGTACATAAATGTTGAAAGCATTAACACAGCCTGTACAGATGTGTGTTTGACGCGTGTTTCTCTATAAGGTTAATAAGGAACCATCAGGCCTCGTTATGTCTAAAATGAGAAAGAGGCAATCTAATGCAGATGCTGAGTGCTGGTGTATGCCTCCACATACGTAACCTACCCTTGGGCGTGAGTCAGTTCGTCACACGCTCATGCTGGTGAAGGTGACAGGTTCTGCCTGTGCTGTGACTACCTTCGGCCATTCAGGGCATCCAAGAGCTGTTCTGAGTTAGTCCACAGAGGAACACAGCCCCAAGGAAATTTGCCCTGTCAGTAACTCAGCCACCTCTCTGAGTTAAAGCACATGTGCGTCTAAGTGAGCACAGTGTAGAGTCTGCGTGTTGCTTTAAACTATAACAGGAGGGTAAAGTACACAAGTAAGTATATAACTTCCAACTTGATGACCTTTCATAGGCAACATACCTGTGGAGCCAGTACCCAGGTCAAGAAACAACGTTACTTGCCTCCCAGAAGTCCCCCTTGCATCTTTCAGTCCACTGCCCGCCCACAAAGTAACTCCATCCTGAATTAAAACAGCATGTTTGTCTTTTCTATAAAAGGCATCCTAGAGTATGTGTTCTTTTGTGTCCGGCTTCTTCAGCGTTATTTGGGAGCGTGTTCTAATTTATTGTTTAAGTAATTGTCAAGTAGCTGCACTTCAGCTATTAAACGTCGGAAAATCGTCCCTGGCACTCCCCATGTGCTCAGATGCTGAAACTGACAAACAGCCTGAAACAAGCCACAGAAGCAAACAGGTTAGGCAGGGCCTTGTGCAATTGGCCCCAACCTGCTTCTCTAGCCTGTGCCCATCCCTCACCCACTGTCTCAGCAGCACCACCTTGGTTTCTTTACGTAGCCATTCACCAAGGCCTGTCTTCCATGTTGGATCTGTGAAGCCTTCCCCATCTGTTTGGAACCATTCAATCTTACTCACTGTGTTTTCTTCTCTGTGTTGTAGCATTTGTCCCAGTATATTTTGATGATTACTCAACAGCCTCCACTTGCCAAGCTCTTTGGTACATTGTCCCTAGTGAATGGTGTCATGTTGTCCCATTAGAAGCACGTGACAAATGCTGAGTAAAGGAGCAGTTCCCTCTCCAAGGATTTGATAACCTACTGAGCAGACAGGTGTGCAGAGACGTAAAGTCTTTAACACTCGTGTTGCACTTCCTACGTGCCAGCCATTGTTCTGGGTGCTCTAATAATCCTCACGATAATGTTGGAGGGCAGGTACTGTTAAGATCCCTGGTTTATAGATGAGGAGATTAAGTGGCTTGCCCAATATCTCCCAGCTCGCAAAGTGACAGACACCAGGTGATGGATCCAAGCAGTCATTCCAACCGCCTCTCCATAATCGATTGTCTTCAAGACAGAGGGCGATACAGTTAAAACTAAAATTATTGCAGCTTTGGATCTGTGCAGCGGGCATCGTGATGAGCCACGCTGGAAAGATAACACTGGGGTCAGATGACCTTGGGCATGGTGCTAAGGAGCTTTGACTGTTCTGTAAGCAGTGGAGAGCCAAGGAGGTTTTTGAGTAAAGGACTGGATCTGCATTTGAAGGAAGTGGCTTCAGTGGCAATAGCGAAGTTGGGTGGCTAGGCAGACAAGCAGAAAGATTGCCAAGAGTCCCGCGTACATCCCATCACAGGGCGCTGGGAGTGGAAGAGGGGAACAAGGCCTTCTGGCTCAATGCTTCCACCAGTCTCTCTCCCTCCAGAGACCTTCCATGATGGGTAAAGGGACCCAAGTCAAGAGCAAGGAGATACACGATGACTGACTTAGCAGCTCAAGAGAGCCAGATCTTTAGCAGGGATTTGCACGGGGGAGCACCAGGCACAGCCAGGGATCATCAGGCGTTTGGGGAAAGTCTCTAACATGAAACAGATTAAGCAAGGAGGAAGTTAATCTGTCAATACACTCAGAGAGCATTGGTTATAAAGGATGCACCAAAGGACATTGAGTGGGAAAAGAAACAGAAATTGAAACTCAATCGACATGTAGTAAAATGAAGTTGAGGAAATCTGGAAAGTGTAGCAACAGGACAAAGAAATGGGAAAATAGGAGAAAGAAATGATGAGAAAACTTGGGGACAGGTCCACAAAGTTCAATCACTGAATAATAGAAGCCCCACAAAGAGAGAAAAGAGGAAATAGAAAGGAGAAAATATAAAGAAATTTAAGAAAATTTCCAGAACTAAAAGGCTCTGAGCCTTTAAACATATAACTGGGCGGGGGTGGGAGGGGCACCTAAATTTTTAAAAAGAGGAAGAGGATCAATCTCAGTACATGTTTTCATGTATGTTTCAGCTTCTGCTGTTTCACGAACTAGGGAAGCAGAAAGTCTTAGGAAGAAAACGAGTTGTTTTCCCCTGAGTGGCTTTGGCAATGTCAGCAGTACATGTAGACATCCAACAGACAGGTCCTTTGTTGCAAATTAGGACAGCATTTGAGGGAAAGGGAGAAGTCAGGAAATCGTGGGAAAAGGTCTGATGGCCTCGTGGCTCAAGAGAGGAGGGGGAAAACCCTGGCTAGGAAAAGGAGGAACAGGAAAGCAATTACATTGGCAGAACACAAAACACTAGCAGAAATCAGGTTAGGGAGGGCTCTGAGGAGTACAGTGTATATGGGGTTCAGTGTGTCTGAAAAGAAGCCTCTGGGTCTTTTGACCGTTGGGCGGTGGTGGCTGACATCTGAGAGCAATTTTAGTTGGACCCAAATGTGCACGGGAGGGAAGGAGAGAAACCACAGAAGGACAATGGTTTTCAACTTGGGTTCTCTGTACCATCTGAATACTGGGGAGTGTGTGTGTGATCTTTGAAATGACAGAAAGGCTAAGGACCACATCATCCAAGTTAGCAACCATCTAAACACCATGCCCGAAGGCCAAGTTCAGGTCACTGAGCCTCAGGCACTGGCCTGTCTTCCTGTTCCTCCCACCTCTTCTAGAAACACAAAGGCCCACTCTGCATCACGCAACCCACTTGAGCTACATTCAACAGGCTTGAACTGCCCAGGTGTTTGGCAACTTGACCTAAATACTGAACTTTAATTGGTCTCATTTATGACAACGTATGAAGTTGTGTCGCTTTATTAAGATGTCCTTTGGAAAACTGTGGTTGATAAAATGCTTTCTCTGACAGTTATCATAGGTCAGACTAGCAAACCGATTCTCAGTTTTCCTGATTATTCTAAGGAAGGGGGACCTGAACAAAGCCATCAAATTCTTTACAGTTAACGCCACATATTCCCTCCTAATTACAAAGGTCACTACTATACCTTTTTAAGACACAGGGAAACCCACAATTTCTTTCTAAATTTGTCATTGAGCTTTACCAAGTAGTTTGAACTATAGTACAGTTACTGCACTGAATAAAATATAAATTTGTATATACTCTTCATTGCTTGCATTTTTCATTTTTGGGACTTCTGCTTTGTTTCTGAAGAAAGCACAGTTCTCTGAGATTTAGAAGAACTGGGAAATAAAAAGGTGATCAGGATATGATTTCCTGTTCAGCGAGAAAGGTTCAGGTGTTTCCCGTCTGGTTGGAAACAAGAGCCTACCTAATTATTGAAAGCTACAGAGATTAAAACGTGGTTTACATTAAAGGTATTTTCTAGGAGTGGCAGTTGGGACTACCTGCGTCCTCAATACAGTGTATATTTTGCAGGTGCTTCAGGCTTTCTTCAGACACATTTCTCCCCTTAGGCCCATAAAATGAACACAGCAGCAACACATTTATGATTGCTTATCACTTTGTTTTTTAAGTTGGTCAATAAATTATCATAAGGATGGGTGCATTTCCTGCAGCTAATTTTTTTTTTGATGAATTTATTTTTCATTTCTAAATTTCTGGGGTTTTTTTTGTTGTTGTTTTTGTTGTTCATTTCTGTAAGACATAAAACTGTAGTACAGCTTTCAAGTGTAAAATAGAATTGGAGTTTGACTGCCTGATTTCCTCTAAATTACTTAAAAATGT